CGCCGTTTAGTTTGTTTATTTATGTTACATATAAAGAGTCTTTATACCATTGTTATCAATTACTACTTTTTATTATTAAATATTTGTAAGAAATGGGCATCTTTAAAAAATGTTGTGAAGGAAGTAATTTTTAGTAATGTACAATAATCGAATAAACATATTGTCAGAATTTTTATCTTCAATGAACTTGATCTTGACATATGTCATCATAAAAAAGTAACAGCAAAAGCAACGGTAAAATTATAACATAAAAAGAATAGTAAATTAAGGGGTATCGGATATCGAATATCCGTCGTTAAATTCTTCTTGGATATCCAATTATCCAATCGGATTTTCCGACTATCCTTCTGGAAATCTGGAAAAAGGCTTCCACAGAAAAAAAAATGTCTTGATCCTTTAACCAAAGATGCTTTAACAGAAAGTTGTTTAAGGAGGTCTTTGCATTAATCTGAGAGTCGATTTTGAAGGCATTCTTTGAGAATTTTTTTATTAAATAAAAATTTATGTATAACTTAAAAACTAATACAGGTCTAGAAAGTGCGTACAAAATACGTGTAAAAAAATATATTTTGTAATGTTAACTTTTTACAGAATACTAATAAGATGGCGCTTTAAAAATTAGGCCTGTACTGCTAACACGATTAAACGGTGCTCAAGGAATCGTATCATTGGTCAAAAAATAAACTTTTTTTTAACGAGTGGACTTGTAATTCTCGCTCGGACTAAGATAATTAATGTCATATAATTAATGTCATCAAAATGGCAACAGTTTAAAAAAAAATTTGAATTTTTATAATTTTTTCCCTTTATTTGACTTTCAAAAAAATAGAAAAAATTAATGTAGACTATTAATTATAGTTTCGATGATAATGACATGTTCTCTGAATATAATCGTAAAAGTAGAAGTCAGTCGGACTAATGATTTTTTTGGAATCGTGATTACCATATTCAAAAACACAGTTTTGTGAAAAACGTGTATAAAGTTTGAAATATTTTAGTACAAGTACCTTTCCGTTTTCTGTTAGAAACAAAAGTGATGCTTAGAAGGGAATAAAACTTTGTTCTATTGAAGAGAAACGTTCTAGAATAGTTTTGAAATGTTGAATATAAATAATAGCGAGCGTCGGTTATAGCAATTAATTGGTGCATCCTATTAGAATCGATCATGAGGTCCACACAAATCAAAACACAAAATATTATTTTATCTTGTACATTTTCAACAATTTTTGTTTCTTCTAAAAAACATTTTTGTGGGTTATTCTTGAGACTATAAGCTTTCAAAAACAGCAAAAATAATTGATATTTTTTAACTCTAAAACGTATAAACTTCGTTAACAAAATGCATTTGTTTAATATTTTTAGCAATTGTTTAGCAATTTCGTTTAACATTTCTTACTAATTGAAAAATTGTTATTTTCTGTAAGGTGCGTAGTTTTTTTGGCGGCTTTCTTTTTCGTTATCTGAAAACGAATTGTAGTTTAAAATGACTGAAACTAAATTATAAATTTTGAACAAAACTTATTTTGAAACTCTACTCCTCATATATGTATTAAATATTATATTGAAACATAACAAGTAAATAATAAAATTCTAGTCCGACTTCTAATTATTTATTAACGCAATTAGCGTTAATATGCTTATGCTTAATGCATATATTATAGTGTTAATAAAAGATGTGACTAATTCTTTTTTTTTCAGATGCATAAGCTCCAGATTTTATCAAATTAATGAACGTTTACGTGTATTATATTCTGATCTGTTCGAAAGTAGTACAAATTACAGAAGACAAAAAAGATCCATCTTTGTGCATCAGCGGATAACAGGAGCTAAGGAACACAATAAATATATATGGATTATAATGTAATAATTATTTAATAAAATTACTGTCTGTTACACACATGCACGCGCATCTATATGTATATACGAGGTTTGATAAAAAAATAACGGGAATTTTTAAATTTCGCGGGCTGTATAGATCCGATTTCCAACTTTTTTTTTCATCTTGTTCGTACACATGTTTCTGACGTATATGTTTCTGACGTATATGTGACATTTGCATCCATTTTGAATGTTTAGTTTATTGTTGACAGTCGAAAAGGTTATAGGTGTTTTGGTATGCTCGGCGATTTTTTACTTTCGGAAAAAATGGATCAAAGAATCTGTATTAAATTTTGCTTGAAAAATGGAATAAAGTGCAGCACCATATTCGAAATGTTGACTGTGGCTTTTCGTGAGTCTACTATGAGTAAAACAAGAGTTTACGAGTGGTACGTTTCAAAGAGGGCCGTGAAGACGTTGAAGATGACGATCGCCCTGGACGCCCTAGCATCAATAACCGACGAACAGGTGAAGAAAATGATTCTGGAAAATCGCCGAATCACTATCAGAGAGATTGCTGATAATGTCGGCATATCATTCGGCTCATGTCAAGCAATTTTTTCGGATGTTTTGGGCATGAAACGTGTGGCAGCAAAGTTTGTTCCGAAATTGCTGAATTTCGACCAAAAACAACGTCGCGTAGACATCGCTCAAGAATTATTGAATGAAGTCAACAACGATCCAGAACTTCTCAAAACGGACATAACAGGTGATGAAACATGGGTATATGGCTATGACGTCGAAACCAAGGCCCAATCGTCCCAATGGAAGCTGCCTGAAGAGCCAAGACCGAAAAAAATTCGACAAGTTCGATCAAATGTGAAGGTTCTTCTCACTGCTTTTTTCGATTTTAATGGCGTAGTGCATCATGAGTTCCTGCCATACGGTCGTACGGTCAATAAGAAATACTACCTGCAAGTTATGCGCCGTTTGCGTGAAGCAATCTGACGAAAACGCCCAAAATTGACAAAACCACTCGTGGAAATTGCATCACGATAATGCTTCCGCTCACACCTCACTGCTTATTCGTGATTTTTTGGTAAAAAACAAAACTATTATTTTGCCTCAGCCACCGTATTCACCGGACATGGCTCCCTGTGACTTCTTTCTATTCCCGAAGTTGAAGAGAACCCTGAAAGGACGACGTTTTGCCAACATTGATGAAATAAAAACAGAATCGCTGAAGGAGCTGAACG